TGCAAGCTCTCTGGTTACTTTCAATTAAAATGGTATTGTGTGGATATTGATTATTAATATGAGAAAAATATTAAAGTTATTTGTATTAAAATTAGAATTCTTTTAGCTTAAGCTTAATTGAAAATCAATTAGACTTATCTGCCAATAATATGTTTAATATAATAATTATTATGATAGAATTATTATGGGCACAAAAATCCAATTGCATATAAATTGGTAGACTAGCATTGCAGCAAGGCAACTAACAAGACAGGTCGTTGAGAGAGTCGTGCGACATTTTAATGCAATTTTAATCAAAGAAATCAGAGGTAAATCATAATTTTGTAGGAAACTCTCAGAAAATACACGTATACCAATTTTCCCAGTCCATATCGTATAATATATCGTATTAAATTACTTTAGCAATTTACAGGGTATCAGCAGTAACAAATGCCTCAGCGAATTCGATTGGCCATTCGGCAACAGGGTATCGAAATATTGCAAATATTTGGTCAGCCATTGGGCATGCATGCCGTGTATCTGACAGATACTTTTCACAACAAAGGCACAACTACGCGCAAAAGTTGTCGCCAATTCGCAATTCGAATTCAAATTCGAAACGTTTTGCGTTTCATTCATAAAATTCAAAACATATTTTTTTTTGCGAGCGCGCTAATGTCAGCTCTGCACCAGTTTAAATGGGTCCACGTGCCGCGCTTCTGGGCGAGAGACGGGGCTGAGGCGGGCTGAGGCGGGCTGAGGAGGCGGGTGCGGCCTGGCTTAGCTGTTGCTTATTGGCTCGGATCGGCTCGTCTTGATTTGGCTTCGACTGTGTGCGGTAATGAGCGCTGTTAAAATGCGTTAAATGATTTTTCTATTTTTTCCTTTTTCTCGTTATTTTCGTTGTTTTTTTTTCTGCTGTTTTGTTTTGCACCTTTTAACTTCTTTTGTGCTCGTTCGCCCCTTGGATTCGCTGGCTTTTTTTTTGCAGCTACTCTTCTTCTTTTTTCATATTTGCCTATGAATGAAGTTTATTTATTGCGGGTAACGGCTATTTGTTTGCCATTCCTTTTTGCCTCTGCTTTTGCAGCTGCGCCGCTGCCGCTGCTGCGCTGCCGCTGCTGCCTATGCTGCGACGTCGTCGTCTGCTGCGCGGCCAAAGTCGAAACGCATTTTGCGCTTTTGGGTGCGCAGACAGCAGAAGGCAGACGTCATAGAAATTTGCAAGCCGCTTTGGCCGCGGCAAGTCAAGTGGAAAAGTGGCCAAACACTGATTTTAACTAGGTGAGAACTCGAAAGCAGCCAAATGAAAATAAACAGATTTCGGGCTTGAACCACGAGATGACGAAGAAGAAGTAGAAGAAAAAAATGTATTCTTTGAAAACAACTTTTTGTTACCTTCAATCTGAACACAGAAATATCTCAACATAAAACATGCATTTGAGTTATTTTTTTATCGCCTGCAGTTTTTCGACTGCTTTTTTGTGAAAAAAACAGATTATGTAGAAAATGTTCTTATGAAAACAAGCTTTTAGTTTTTCCCGAAAGTCCAACTTTCTCAATAAAAATAAAAACTTTGTTTAATCAGTTTTGCTTCAACTTTGGTTTAATTATGCTTCATTTAAGTTCTTTTGTATTGTTTAATATAAGTCGAATTTTTAAGTCTTTTGATATGTGATTTTAAGCTTCAAAACTTTGAGCAAAATCAATTTTATTCCTTTTATTTAAAGTTTTATGAAAAGATTCATGTATTTAAAAAATATTTGTACATATTTTAAAAAGCGTATTTTATATTTTTTGTATGTGCATAAACTTTATCTAAGTATTTCTATATATTCTTTTTCTTTTCCTTTTTTCAATCTTTTTATATTAAAATTTATTTAAATATTTTCATTTAAGTCCCAAATTTTAACATTTCTATTTATTGGTAATATTCTCTCTCTGTTTTTTCTATCTCGCTTCTATTCTCACCTCTGCAATAAGTCAAGTTCTTAAGACCACACTCCTAAGTTCTCCAAAGCAACTTCTCCATTTTTCCCCTAGTTATATCTGGCCTATATAACATACCCTATCACACGCTCTCCCACTTCTCGATATCGCAACGAGCGTCTCTTTCTCCGCAACACGTGAAAGATATTTAAATATGTTAAAGTATCGCATAAAATAATAAGAAACCCGCCACTTGCCAAGCATTTCGCCTTATCTCACGTAACAGAAATAATTATAAAGCGCCATATACATCATTCCCCAACGTTCCAGTACAAAAGACTTTTCGCACTGCGAATTATCTAAATGGCCATCCTTAACCTTGAACTTAAGCATTAGCGCAGAAAAGTTTATAATTTTCAATGAAAACAACAACAATAAAGAAAAAACCAGCTGACCGAATTGCGAGTCAACAAAAAGGTGCGAAATTTCATAATATTTCATATTTCGCAAGCTGAGAATCTATTAAAAAATTGAGCAATCAGAGAAGCTTTAAAGCGTATCCGATTTTAACACATTTCTCTGGTCAAACAAAATGGCAAAAAAAAAAAAGAAAATTGGTAAGAAAGAGTGCTCAAGTCGAGAGTGGCCGAATAGAGGATACCCTATACCAGGAAGAAATGACTTAAATAGCTACGGAATTTATCAACTGTTTGTTCAGGGCATTAATATGGCATATAGAGAGAATCGATGATCAAATCAGCGTTTTTTATTTTGCTGGGGTGCGTATATATGAAATGTTAAACATACTTTTATTTCATTTCCGAGATATTGTAAACAAAGTTAAGATAAAAACTCGATAGTTATCGATTTTGAGGAAATACTGGAGAATAATCAATAAAAATATTTACAGTACGTTAGTCTTTATGCAGAAGATAAGGTCCTCACCCTATTTAGTGCCTGATATCGAGAGAGTCTCTGAGATAGTTGAGCTTGGTTCATTCTTTGACCTGAAATATATGCCTACATATGCGATGTGGAGAACGTCTTCTGCTGCCTGTCAACAACTTTTAATTGGTTACAGGGTATACAAATATTTCAATAGCATTCGGTATTGTACACAAGCACAAATTGAAATTAACACGCCTGTTATCAGACACAAGCGGGCCAAAAAAAAAAACAAAAAAAAAACTGTCCACAAGCCATGGCTAAAAGGCGGAGACAGCGACGGTGACACGCGCGGCGTTGGCGGCTTCGTGTGTCAATTTGGCATGAAATTTGTTGTATTTGTTGTTGTTGCAGTTGTAGCTGGCAACAATGCCATTAAGCTCAAAGTTTTATTATCTATACAAGCGGCCTACATGGCAAAAAAACAAAAACAAAAACAACAAAAACCAATAGAGTTTTGTGACAAGTAGCAATGAACCTTGTAAGGTCTCGGCTGCTGTACACACATATGTTGGGTGCACATAATAAATCTCATAAATTTTTCATATATCTCAAACACTCGCTGACAGTTGCCATTAGACAGGCAGCCCCTCAATTTATTTGAAATTTGAAATTTAGTTAATAATTGCACAGACTCTTTATTTTCAAGTGCGTTTCAAGTTTCAAGTGTGTCACATGTGAAACACAAAACAAATGTATATACATATATATATATATATATATATATATGTATATATCTATCTCTAATGTGTATATATTGCAAAGTGGTTTTTGTTTGTTGACCCATTGATGGGTTCATAGAATTTTCAATTTTCAATTATATTATATTATTACTTTCAACTGAAATGCTCACGAGTTGCGTTTAAATGTGATATTCTTCAATTTCACATTAAATGCTGCAATTAACTTTAGTGCAAGTGATTTTGCAGTTGTTCTACGCAGTATTTTTTATTATTCCAATGGAGTTTTCTTTTCAATCAATTTAAAAATGTTGCTTTTTATTATTTATTGATTTAATTAATTTTTGTATTATTTTGTTTTTATTTGCACTATAATGTAAAAATATCTCCAGCCGCTTATCGATTATCTAAAATTTCAAATTTCAATTCAAGTTCAACCCTTTTACTACTATTTACATTAAAGGTATTCCCTAAGTCCAACGCATCTGGTTGCACTGCTGGTATTCCCAGAATTTGTTGCTATTAATATCCAACTTCCCTGGTCAAACTGAGTATAACAAAAGTTACCTATTTTTACAAAATCTATCTGAATCCCCTGATCCAGCTGTGTATATATACCAACAAATAATTATTTTTACAAATCTAGCAGATGCCAGAAATTATTCAATGTTTCGAACTGCGGGTTAAAAGCTACCTATTCTGAATATTACAAAGAAACCCGAACAGAATAATAAGAAATTCTTTCTAGATAAATCGATGCATATTTAGGGAAATTTCTGGATAAATATACAAAGTAATAAATATAAAAATAAGTATTTAAAACATAAAACAAAGCAATTACATGCTTCAAGGTCATTTAAGTGTTAATTAAAAAGATAATATTAAGAATTATTAAATACATTAGTTCCCTTTATAATTCCAAATATTCTGAATCACATTTTTTTTGTTCAAGAAAAACTTCCCAAAATTGCTATAAAAAAAAACTCCCAAACTACAAACAAACAAAATACATGAACTTGTCCTAAATAAATAGCTCACTTTTCTAAAATGTTCTATAGCCAATTTTTATTTTAGGTTAATACAATTTATTCGCATTTGCACAAATTGTCTCAATTTATATTTATATATGTGCATAGTTTTATAGCAGACCTGCCGCTGCCGCCCCTAGCGGCACAGCACCCCCACCCCCCCCCCCTCCCCCGTCAAATTATTGTTCAATAATTTCACTCTTGGCAACCGAAATCAACAAAAGACAACTCTGCATTAGTTTTGCTGCTGTTGTTGTTGTTGCTGCTGCTGTTGCAATGCATAATAACTGTCGTGCTGTTTGTTGTTACTAACACACACAGACACAAAATACACACGCACACACACACAAACACACATCTATGGAGGGGGCCAACAAAATATTTCGCGCTTTTTCGTATGTGGCGCGCAATGGGCTAAAATATTTTCTGATTAACGTACTTAGTTGTTGCTGTTGTTGTTGCTGTTGTTGCTGTTGTTGCTGTTGTTGCTGTTGTTGTTGCTGGTCGCTGGTTTGCTCATTGGCTTCAACACGTTTCTTTGCGTTTTCTTTAGCGTTTTGTGTGTGTTTTTTTTTTATTAGTGCTTTTCCAATTTCTTATTCACTTCATGTCTGCACAACGCGCTCCAACACTTAAACACACGCAAACAAACACACATTTAACACACACGCTCTGTGGTATCAACTTAGCGAGTACGCACTGTGGCTAAGCTTTTGATTTTGATTTTGATTTTTCAACCGCGCCGCCAACGTTGTGCGCTCGAAATCTCGTTACTAACTAAAATAAACGACGCGAGCCGCGCAGCCAAACTGAAAACAGCAACAACAACAAAACTTAAATAAAATCAACCGTACACAATGTTGTCGCAGCGACGTCGACTTCTGGCGCTCGTGTGTGTGTGTGTGTGTGTGTGTGTGCGTGTTGTTGTTGTTGCTGTCGGCAACTAAAACAGACACCACTCAGGTACACAGACTAAGTAAGCGCGCTCTCTCATCCACACACGCACACATGCACAAATAATCAGCGCGAGCGCGACTTTGGATCGAGCGCAAGTTCAAGTCGCAATGTTAGCTTGAGCCGGCTGCGACGCCGTCAACTGCAGAGAGTGTGTGAGAGAGATTGAAAGAGAGTATTAGGATTTTTATGCAATGTTTGTAGCTTGCATGCAATTTGGAAAAAAATAATTTATATCAGATATTCATTGTTGGTTAAGAGAATATTTGATAAATGAAAACATTAAATGAATTATTGAAGTATAAAAAGAAAATGTTAACACAAATACATACAAGCCAAAAAAAAAGGTTTCTATTTGAAAATTATTTATGTTCAAGTAATAAATGGTTGATTTGTTTCAAGGGTATGTAAGCTTCGATATTACGATGTCAGCGCTTGTGATTGTCGACAAGTTCGAAGCGAACTTCAAGCTAAGCTCTCGCAAACTTAAGCCGGCTATAAAGCGACTGCTGCTGCTCGACTTGTTGTTGTTGCTAAAATTGGCAATGTTGCTGGTTGCTCTTGCAACATGTTGCTTCCGCTATGTCCCCGCAACAAATTTATTTCAATTAAAATTTCTTTCAGTCTGCTGCTTCTCGCGGCTTTTGCATATTTTGCTGTTGCTTTCGAGAATTAAAAATTCCATTATATTTTTTTTTTTTTAAAGCCCGTTGTCAAAGTGTCTGGCTTTATGGGATATTCAATGTGCGGGCCCGTTGACATTTGATTTTTGTTGTTGCTGCTGGCTCTCCGGCAACTTTGTTGTTTGTTGCCCAGCGGCAGTTGTTGCTGCGGTCGCGGCTGCTGCTGCTGCTGCTGTTGATGACGTCTAATTTTTAACCGAACTCGTTTGCTTACTCACACACGAAATTATGTCAGGAATGTTGGCAGGCGGCGGCTGTTGTCTGACGCAGCTGTTGTTGTTGTTGTTGTTGATGTTGGCGCTGTTGTAGACTGTTCTTGTTGTTGGAGACTGTTGTTTGGTGTTGTTGTTATTGTTGGCCTGCGTTGAAAGTCGACGTTTAGTTTCGTGAGAGCCAAAGCCGGTTAGCTTTTTGGTTGCTCAGACGCGTGCCAAAGTCGTATTCATTGTTGTGCTGCTACCCTTCTAGAGGGTATTACGTTTTTCTCACAAACTGTGTCACGCATAGCTGTGAGACCCATCTACATTAGTATATACATTCCTGATAAGTAGCAGTAGCTTCAGTCTCAGTTTTATGGCAGGAAAGTTTGCATTAGTTTGTCTTTGTGTTGCAGGCAGTCCTATATATTATGTTGGAATCAGCCAGATCAATGCACTATACATATCTCTGGTTGTTCCAAGAACCAATATAAGTTCTAGTTTTTAAGAAAATTTGACCAAAATGGCATATTATTATGCTCCTTAAGTATACCAAAATATCATATAGTTCTATCAACAGATTATTTCAGGAAAAAAAGTTTTTGTATAAAAAAATGCTCTCATTTTAAAGACATAAACTCTACATAACTTTCGGTCTCTTTTAACCCCACAGGTACATGTAAATGGATCAGGTGCTATATAAAATGATTGAATTGATTCTATATCAAATGATTGACAAGAGCAATAAATTATAATAAAATTATATATATATCAAGGAATTTTAAAGACATCTTAACCAAACTCAGAAACTAAGAGCTTTACAACTCTCCACACATATCTGCCAGCCCGTACGCCTTAAGTCTCCAAGGGTATTTGATCTTCGGTGTGCCGTTGATATTGATGCAAGTTTCATGCTGCGGCCTTAGCACGTTAAGCTGCATTTGCGTTGGGGCGCAACCCTTTGACTAATTCGAGCTAAGTTTGATTTATCATCAATTTTTATACCCAATTCATTTCCAAAGCTAATTTCCATGTAAAAAAACAAAAAAAAAAAACAACAGATCACGCGATTGGGGTTTTTTGAACCGCATTTCGAAAGCCAATGACATGTGCCTCAAAGCATTTCTGGTGCTAACTGCACTTTTCAAAATTACTTTCTGCGTGCTCAGCGTGTTGGCTATCTGGCTTAAAACCGTGTCATTAGCACCGCGTTCCCAGTATCGATTCGTGTGCTAAGCAAAATGTTAAATTCAAGCTAACAGAACAGCATTTTTTTGGTTCCAGGTATTCAAAAATCCAAAGCTCAGCTCACAAACTCAATCTTTTGGACACGCGACTCGATTAATTTCCACGGAATTGACAAATTTTTATGCAAATGCAACCTTATGATTTCTTAGCAAAAGGCCAGTGCATGTAGAAATCTCTCAGTTATTGCCAAAGACACTTTATACCCATGTTACCATGCTTTAAGTACAATTAAAAAAAGTGCTGAACATATGAAATGCGAGCAGGGCAGAGACAGTGGCCAAAAAAGCGACAGAAAGTTTTTTGAAACGTGAAGAATATGAGGCAATCAATTTTTGACATACATTATATGGCTAAAACTCAAATATCTGAAAAAAATATTAAAAAATAATTCAAAATAATGAATAATTTATTGTTGATTGTTTTTCTCTTAATTTTGATAACCTCTTAAATTTCATAACTTAATATCGATTGTGCGTTCTCTGGTTATCGATAGTTTGTGACAATTATTATTTAATTATTTATAATGATTTACTAAGACTTTTGAAGCATGGTTAAAATTTGTTGAAATTACCGTTGTAAATACTTTACGGTATAAGTATAATGCAAAATATAGATTGATTATCGATATATCGATATCGAGGCTAACGGCTATCGATCATCGAGAATCAAAACAATTGATAGTTTTGTGGCATCGAACAATCAATTATGATTTGAAAATTTAAAAATGTATTAAAAATATAAAAATGATAATAAAAATAAATCAATAAATTAAAAAGCTAAAGAACGACGTGGATTTATACTCGACAAATGTATATTGTGTAAAGTTGTTTTGCCAATAACAAATAGAAGATAACACTTCAAACAAGCAATAGCTAGACTTATTGAACTTTTCAAAGTTATATTCAAAATTTGTTTTAAAAGATTTTAAAGTATATATGTTTTGGCTTATTTATCAGACGCCTGTGAGTGACATGCGCCGAGCTGAATGCCTGTACGACCGTGAAATATGAGAAGACATTGGGAGATATGCAATTCAGTAATCCAAATGTCAATCAGAAGTCAAACCGCGACTGTTCAATGAATTTCCAATTTCCGTTAAAAAGAAATAACAAATACAGAAAAATAATAACAAAAGTGGGAAAAAAGTACTTCAAACGAAACAAGAACCAACTGGAAGCCAAGCGAACGCGCACAATTCAATTTCAGCATTGAAATCAGATACATGACGAGGCTGGGATTAGCGGCCAACCCGCAGCCCAACTAAGGTAGTAGCCATAGAGATACGATAGATGACTAGACTCCGTTTAGAACGGAGCTAACAAAGCTATTGACGCTTTGAAATCCAAGCGCAGTGGCAACCGCAGACCCAACTGACAGATTGACTAACAGTCGCAGAGCCAATGGAATGTTGGCGCAGCCGCAAATAGAGGATTGCTGTTGTCTTTTCTTTTTTTTTATGGGATCTTTGTTATTTTGTATAATAAAAAAGTGAATGCAATGTCAACAAAATGCGGAAGACAGTTGAGGGAAAATAATATGATTTGGTTTTTAGCTTTCACATTGATGCAATAGAATAAAATGCTATAAGAAAATTAATAAAAGAAAGGTGTTCCAATTAAAAAGAAATTCAATGAATAAACTGCTATGAAAAAATTAATATTACAAAAAATTCTTTCACTTTCGTATAGACAGAGCCTGTAAGTAATTAAGAAGAAATGCTTTTATTAAAAAAGAACACTTGAGCTTAGCCAAGCGATAGGTTTATAATTTATATATTTTTTTATATAGTTATAAAAAAAAGTTGAACCCAAAAACAACTTATAGAAAATCAATTAAATATGTTTAAGCAAACGTTAGTTCTTTAGTCTAACGAGACACAAACACAAGCTTTAATGAAAAATTCGAAAAATATATCTTGATGAAATTCTCAGCAGTAGATTATATTTTGCTATAGAATATTTGTATATTCTCAAAAAGTCAACTGCATTAAAATTGTGGCTTAAATTGGTGGGCAATACAATGAATTGGTTTACTTACTTGATTTATAGCCATGTGGTGGTAGCGGGGAGGAGGCTATTCATTATATATATATTATATAGACTATTCTAGAAGCTGCATGTCTTATAACTTACGAGATTTGCTCAAAAAACATTACTTGGAAACGAGCCAAGTTATCGATTGTCGGAAACAACTCTTACTGCGCCGGCACCAGGAGGACCTATAATACATTCAAAAGATTCTGTATATATATATGAATACAACAAACTATACAGGGTATACATATATACATACCTTAAGCTTATTTTCCAGCATTATAGCGACTTTGATCGATTGGAATATTTCATTATAAGTATATTTTATAAATTGCATTTTATGCACAATTTAGCATCTTTTAGGGAAATCCGTTCAATCAATTGGCCAATTCCACTCAAATTAAGCCGCTTAGCCAATGTCAACTGCAACATTCTATCGAAGTGGCAGCAACTGGGCAGCGGCTTGTTTCGGCTTTGGCTTTGGCTTTGGCTCCTGTAAAATTGAATTGCAATTGAAATTGCATTTAATGGAAAGAACTTGGAATCTGCATAGCATTAAATGGGCCCCAGGCAAATTAGTATTACAATTTATAGCATTTGATTTGATTTATTGAAGAACATATATACATATATATATATGTATATACGTATATTTAAACATTTAGATATTTAAAGTTTTGATTTGTTTGTACATTAAGTCGAGAGCTTTGATAAACTTTTCAATTTGTATTATTATTATATTTGTTGTAGTGAACAAAGCGTAAATCTTTAATTTGATTTTCAAACTAGGAGAAATAACAATTGCACATATATTTTATTTTGCATATATTTTGATAATATTCTTTAGCTATAGTTTTGATTAGATTCACGTAATTCAACAATTTCCTGTCATGAATTTATAGTATGAAGCTTGGACAGAAATTGGGCAAACGGTGGGTAATTTAAGATTAACAATTGGAAAAAATAGTTTTTGTTAATACTTTTACTCAAATAACACAATTTGCTGCTTGTTTTTAATTAATTATTTAAGTTTTAGTTTAAAGCTGTTCGTTAATTATTTATAAAATTTGAACCTAAACCAAACTACATTTGCTTAATATTTAACTAATTGGGATTTGGATTTGCTTTAGTTAATAATTAATGAATATTTAATAATGCTTTGTGCATTTCGATCACTTTAGACTGTTAAATCTGGAAACTTGAAGCCCCTTAAATAGGTAAGTGTCAAAGCAAAACAAATTCCGTGCCGCTCGAGAGTTAAGTTATTTCCGTTATCCTTACTATGGCTGCGATGCCATACGAATCCTTGCGGTCGCACGTGACTTTGTGTGTATCTCGGCTGTGCGCAGCGTGATGCCAAAGATGTCCTCATGATACCGATTCTCGTCCTGTGTGTTCACGTGCGTGTGTGTGTGTGCGAAAGAAAACAAATATATATATTTATATATATGTATAAGTGCTGCACTGGAGTATATAATAAAACACTCGCAATAAAAGTGTAAACGTCATCATATTTGTGGCCGTCAAGAGGGACAAACAAACAAAATAGCAAAACAAACACAGAACTAAAAGAAAAGTCTTTAAACCAACTGAACAACTAGCAGATCCCCATTAATAAAACTAAAAATATTTATGACATTAAATATATATAAATGATTAAGAAATGAATATAAATAATATTACAAATAATATGATTAAATAAGTTTTATAATTTTTGAAGCGCACTTTTGGGATTTAAAGCCTGATAAATTTTGGTAGATAAAAGTCATTAACTTTTTTGGAGATCATTCAGAACCATTTTTGTACTGAAATATATTTATTTTATTTCTTTAAAACAAATTCCTGCATTGGTATGATTAGTAAGAAATATAAATTAAATAAAAAAATAGTAATATAAAAAAAAAGTGAAATAAATACGAAGTTCACCGAGAAAAGTCTAAAGAGCAATAAGATTATTTTTGCATCTGGGAACGGATATTCAAATATAACAAAAAAAAAACTTAGCTTAGAGAAATAAAACTCAAAAAAGTCACACAGGACAAGTTTTGTAAAGATCAGCTTAGTTTTGGGTTCATTGAAGAACTTTTAAGAAATATTACTTAATGTATGTATTTTGTTGTGCATGATATACTAAGTAATTAATATGTGCAAACATTTTACTAGCAAAATATGTTCAAAAATATTAATAACTAAATATAATTGAACATATTAGTATATCCCACATAAGTACATACATACATCAAGTAATATTGCCTGAAAGTACAAATATTGCTGCCTATTAAACAACTTTTACTTAAACCGAATATACCCTTTGCTCGGCTACAGGGTAGCCGTGGCAAAGCAGCTGTAACTGGCAACAAACGTTTGCATTTTTTTATTTTGCAACACTAAAAAATGCATTTATGCAGCTAAAGGAGTTGCAAACAGCTGGCAAAGTTTTGCCTGTGGGCTTCCTGCTGCTCCCCTAACGACTAAGGTCACATAAAATGCGCATACGCCGCGTGTGACGGCGGAAGCGGAGCGCCTCGCACTCGTCGCTCGTCAGAGTCGCACTTGCTTTATGTTATTTATACGTGCAGTTTAAGTTGGTTCAGTTAGAGGATACTTACGCGCAATGTGAGCAAAAATGTCTCAACTTCCGCCTCGGTCTTCTGCTCCTTGCCGGCAATACATTTCCTGTCGAGTAAAAAGTAGGTACATATGAGAAATGTGCTGGCTGCATAAAGTGCAACGCTTTTGAGTGCGAAAGTTTGTCTGTTGTCATGTGAGCATATTTAATAAATAAACGCTAATTAAGGCCATTAATATAAAAAGTGTGTGTGTGTGCCGAGCAGCTCAGGTGTAGCTAACATATTTGTTGCTGAAGAACTGACTACGCTTAAAAGAATGTAAAGTGCGCCACATTAAAAACGCATTTCTTTAACAACATGTACAAAAGTTCTTCAGTTCAACAAAAAACATTCCTTTAAGAAACAGAATAAAATAAAAAGATAACAATAATAATACAAAAGAGCATAGATTCTATGATACGAATAAATATAAAAACCTTGCCATTTGCAATAAATAAGATACTTTTTTTATGAATAAAGTATTTTGTTATAAAGCTCTAGAAAAGTATCTTTAATTCGGTTCACATAATTTACTTGTTGTCGAAAAGATAGATCGTAAATTAAAATAGAAAAAATACTTTTCAGTTGAGAATCTTCTTGCTTGAATTTATTTTTTGAGGCATTCTTTGCGAATGTACGCACAATATTTGCGAAAAAAGAACGTATTTCAATTAACATAAAGCGCTTAAGATTAGAGATGAACTCAGATAGCTCATCAAGCAAATGACCATATCCTGTCTGTCTATATGTTTGTGTGTTAATGACCCCCCTGCACACCCCCCTGCACCCTGGCCCCTGCTCCAGCTACAGTTGGACAAGCATATTTCACAATAATGCACGTAATCAAGAGCTCGCATAGAGAGCATAGAAAATAAAAGTCAAACAGCAAAAGGAAAGAGAGAAAAAAAATGGGGAAAAAACCAAAAACGACCGCAAAGCATTTGAAAATAAATTCCCTGCAGAGCAACGCCCATGGCGCTGGCTGCCTAGCCACGCCCCGTTTGCCGCCCATGCCGGTAGCACAATGGCAATCAAGCTAAACAGAAAACTATTTTGAACTAAACTCAGTTGAATCGCAACTCACCTGATGGTCTGGTAAACATGCTCGGCCATTGTGACATCGCCGCACACATACACATGGCCCCGCTCCAGCACAATCAAATTGTACAACGCATCAAATTCCTGTTCAATCAGATCCTGTACATATGTCTGCAAAGAAATAAGAACAGAGAAACTCGCATCAAATGACAGGCTGACAGAGTACCTCGCCCCCACCCCGCAGACCGCAAAGGTGAAACAAATGTTGGTTTAGGCTGGGAAAAAATGTGAAATGTGCAAATTTCCATCGCATAGCAGCAATGTGCCAGCAAGTTAAGTTATATAAAACAAAGTTCATAAGAGAGAATATATATACTACTTAATATGCTTAACTGCCTTAAATTCTTTGAAGCGAAAAATGGATCAGTTATACTCAATGTAAAACTAAATTAAATACAAGTTGGAATTTATCTTAAAATATTCTGTTATTTTTACCACCATTTTTGTATTTAATTTTTTGATTGAACACTTTCTTTTTAATTCCCAGATTTACCTGTATTTTAATCCCTCTTAAGGCAAACAGTCAGTCAATCAATCAAAGGTTATCTTCCTTATATATATATTTATATATAACATTGAAGAATTGTTTTTTTTTACTTCCCAGATTTTCCTGTATTTTAATCCCTCTTAAGGCAAACAGTCAGTTAGTCAATCAATCAATCAAAGCTTTTCCTCCTTTTTGTCTTTTGTATTTTATACTTTGATTGAACACTTTTTCGTAGCTCAAATAAACTAAATATATCATTGAAGAACTATTTTTAATTCCCAGATTTTCCTGTATTTTAATCCCTCTTAAGGCAAATAGTCAGTCAGTCAATCAATCAATCAATGCTTTTCCTCCTTTTTTGTCTTTTGTATTTTATACTTTGATTGAACAGTTTTTCGTAGCTTTTTCCTGTATTTTAGTCCCTCTTAAGGCAAACAGTCAGTCAATCAATCAGTTAATCAATCAGTCAATCAAAGCTTACGGTAATCATTTACATTAATTTAAAATAATATTCCTTAGTGGTACCTTCATCAAACTTACCTTGGGTATATCTGGTTCCCTGGACAGTGCCAGGAATACACGATCCATGATTTGCTCCTGCAGCAGTTGGGCCTTCTCCTCGGCATACAGATCGACATCGCGATTGCGACAGCCAAAGAAGAGCCAGAGCTTTGGCAACGATGTCGTCGTATCCACTTCGCGCAGCACCTGAAACTCCTGCCAAAAGGAGCGAAATGGCGCAATGCCAGTGCCAGGTCCGATGAGCACCACGGGACGAGTGCGATCCGCGGGCAAATGGAAGCCCAAGGCGCTGCGCACGAACATAAACAGCTCGTCGCCAGCTCGCAGTCCGGCCAAATAGTTGGAGCAGACGCCATAACGCTCCTCGCCCTGGCCATCCTCGCTGCGATACTTGACAATGGCCACGGTTAGGTGAATCTCGTCGCTGACGCGGCGTGGCGACGACGAAATCGAGTAGAAGCGCGGCTGCAATGGGGTCAAATTGGCCAGCACCAAGGAGGCGGGCGGTCGGCAGGAGGGGAACTCCTCCAGCACATCCAACAGATGCGGCAAACGCCAATGTCGCCAATCCTCATAGGCCGACGAATCATTCACCAGCAGCTGCAGCCGCTCCCTGTCCGCATTGTCCTCGCAGAAGCCGGAGAGCAAGGTGAGCAGCTGCCTCGATGGCGGCGTGGTCAGGTCAAAGAAACGCGCCAGCAAATTACGCAGCGTATCGGCGGGTATTTTGTCATGCTGCTCCCAGCACTTAAAGATGCCATTCGAGGTCTG